TAGGGTGTCTCCTCCACTGAAAGATCTTTTTTTTTTTCCTCAATAAGTTTCTGTTGATGCCTTTTGGTTTTGCTTATAATTTCCCCCAGCATCCTTCTCCCAACCGTTCCTAGAAGGCTGTCCCCTGTAACAAATGTTTTTTAAAGATTAAAAAAAGAAAAAGAAGAGAAAAAAATTAGCAAATGCATCAGCACTTTTTAAAAAATTGACAATGTCTGGAAAAAAAATAGGCCATGTAGTGGATGCAGGCCCTCCCCTCATGCAGAGGAGGAGGGTTGTGGTGTCTCTCGCCTTCCTTCTCGGAGGCCCCTTCTGCACCATTCCCTGTTGGTTGGTCTGTGGCTGTTCCTCCTGCGGCCACGGTTGTGGTCACTGCCTGTGGCTTCCCAGACTCTCTGTCTTCATCGCACACCCCATTTCTCGGAGCACAGGTGTATTTTGTTTGGTGTCCCGAGGACACTGGGTTCCTTAGGGTAGAAGCCTGGTAATGGAGTCACTGGGTCAGAGGATGTGGACATGTCAGGCGCTGCGTATGCAGTTGCGCGCTGCTTTCCAAGATGGTCTTACTGATTGGCGATGCCACCGACAATGCACTTGTGTGCTTTTCTTCCCGCAGCCCCTCCAGCACCCACTCTTCCCATCTTTTGGGGTTGTTCAATTTGCATTTCTCTTATTAATGATTTAGAGCATGATTTCATGTGGTTGTGAGAACTTTGACCGCTTCACTTGGAGGGAGAGTAGCTTTTGGTGATGGGTGGGAGGGGGAGGGAACTGTTTATGTTGGTTGGGTCTCATCCTCTCATCTGAGAAATTGGATTCCAAGCTTTTTTTCCTGTTGTTCCTATGCATAAGATTGAACGGCTCCTCTTCCTTGTTGGGGAGCGGTTTGTGGCTGGCTTTTCCCTTGAGGTCTTGTCCAAGACGCTTTGGGAAGAGCCTGAGAAGAGGCGTGAATGATGCTGGGTTGGCGTTCATTCAGAGGCTGCCTCTTCATGAACGTTTTTGTGGAAAGTTATTTTTCTTTAAATATGAATATTTTCTCCTGTCTGAAGACTAGGGAGTAGGGAAACCTCTTTTCCTGCTGGACACGCAGCCCTTGAGGTTATTTGGTGTGCTTTATTCTCTGTGCTAGAAATGTAAAGGGGTTTCACTCTATGGGTTGCATCCTTGGTGTTGGGCAGGCCCCAGATGTTCCCTTGTCCTGGCCCATTCTTGCTCCGTCATCATTTGCACAGTCTAAGTCCCACTTACGGCCACCCTTTTCATCAAGCGCCGTGAAACAAAGCTTCCCTTCTGGCGCCTTCTGACGTGAGAGGAAGCAGCACGTAGACGGAGGCCCCTTTGCTGGAGAATTCTTAGGGCTCGTTTTAAAAAGAAGGATGCCATGATCAATGTGCCTTGCTCTGTAAAAATAATGTTAGGTTCAGCACTACATTAGTACACTTGGTTCTCTAGCTGTATTTCTTAAAACTACTTTTATATGTAGTGAGCTATTGGGCTCCTGAAGGAAAAAGACCTTGGCGCCTTGGACCAGACTTGGGGCCTGTCTTCTTCTAGGGGACATGAGGCTGCACCTCCTGTTGTGGGGAGAGGAAAAGGCTGTATTTCCCCTTAGGCAGGCAGCAGCCCAGGGAGAGGGACTAGGCTCACCTAGAAGAGGCCCTGGAGTAGAGGCCAGGAGCCCACCCGGATCTGGTAATTCTGCTGGAGGTGCCCCTCTGGCCCTGGCATGGGGAGAAATGCACTTTCCCAGGCGGGTCACTCCTTGGCCAGGCCCTCCATGGGAGGCCTTGCTCCAGCGTGACCAGTGCCCGCTCACTGTTGTCGGGGTGGCTCCCCTCAGGATGAAGAAAGCATTCCTGTCCCGTGCCGGGAGTTACCTGAGTACAAGGAGCTGCTGGAGCTAAAGAAGCTGAAGAAGAAGAAGCTGCAGCAGATGCAGGCGGAGGGCGGCTTTGTGCAGCATGCAGGCTTCAAGGTATGTGGTGTGAGTCTCCTAAGCTGTGAGCTCCCTGCTGTTGAGGAGGAGCTTCAGGCAAGCGCCCCCAGGCCCAGGGAGGTCCCTGCTATCCCTCCTCAGAAGCAGAGCCTCAGCCTGCTGCCCCATGTGGAGTTCTCAGGATATTGGGGGACTGGGGGGGAAAGAGTTCAGAATGGAGGGGTCAGGAAGGGCAGGGTGGTGTTCTCTGATCCTAGGGACTTGGGGGCAGTTCACTGGTGACCAACTTAGGACTAGCTTGACCTTTGGAGGCTTGGAGCAGTGGGCCCCTAAGCCAGGAGGTGTCGCAGTCGCCATGTCTTATCCACTACTGAGCTAGGAAGGCTGCTCTTGGAAAGAGGCTCATGCCTTGAGGGGCCATGAGTCCCTCCATCTTTGGGGACTGGCACAACCCCCTGGATGGCTTGTGGCTTTTAGAAGAAGGTGTGTCGCCTTTTAGTTATTGAGGGGTGGGGCCTCACAGACTGGGATGGTGCCTGTATGCCCTGATGAGATACAGCAAGCTAAGCTTAGCGAGCCTTCCCAGAAGAATGTCTGTGCAGAAGACTGGGGAGGGGCTTCAAGTCATTTCCTCCAAGACAGGAAACGGGGCTCCAGTCACCCACATCCATCCACCTATCCAGGAGAGAGAGCCAGTATTAGAAGCTGGACCCGCCCTTCCTGCTCCCTGGCCAGCCCCTGCCCGCATTAGGCATCCCACCTACAGTGGAGCTGAGACCCAGCCCTCTGTGAACATGGGAAAGGTCCTTACTTCAAAGCCAGGCGGAGCTTCATGACCCCCTGGTCCTTTGCCCTGGGAGGCAGGCCCAGTTCTCCTCTGAGAGTGGCAGAGACACTTTGGAGTGATTGGGTTTCGGGCCCCTTCCTGCAGTGCTTGGGGGTGCAGTCTGAGCCCTGTTTCCTCACAGGAAGGGGTGGGGGAGGGAGTTGGGGGGGCCCCCTTGGGCTTGTTGCCTCTTCTGCAGCCCAATAACAAGCCCAGATTCCAGTGTGGAAGACAAGTGCGAGCTGCCCTCCCCTCCCAACTCTTTCTCGGCCATCCCCCCCCACCCCCCAGTGGGTTTATATGGCCCCTGACCTAGTCTGTCCTGACCTCCATCTAGTGTGATAACTGTGGCATGGAGCCCATTCAGGGCATTCGGTGGCACTGCCAGGATTGTCCCCCAGAAATGTCCCTGGACTTCTGTGACTCTTGTTCAGACTGGTAAGTGACACCTGGGCTTGACGTGCTAAAGGCTTACCTTTTGTGACCCGGAGCAAAACCTCAGAAGGAAAAATTTTGCATAAAGTGCAACCTAGTATGTTGGGATGTGTTAAATAGATTTCTACCCTGGGGCAACCAGGGGACACCACAGCTTGGGGTCAGGAAGACCTGAGTTCAGATCCAGCCTCAGACACTTACTAGATTCATGACCCAGGCATCTCCCTCAGTTTGCTCATTTGTAAAATGGGGATAATAATGGCACCTCCCCCACTGCAGGCTGTTGTGAGGATCATATGAGATTGTGTTTGTAAAGGCACTTAGCACATGCCTGGCATGCAGTAGGTGTTTAATAACTGCCATGATAGTAACAGCAACATTTATATGGGGTTTTAAGGTTTGTGAGGCACATTACATGTGTTTGAATTAAATTTATATGATGCAAAAAAGCTCTCACCCTTCAGACTCTTAAGTGTAAGTCAAATCAGACTTTTTTGTGTGTTTTAATTTTTTCTTATTTTTTTTTAACATGACTAATGTGAAAATATGTTTTGCATGACCTCACATGTAGAATGTGTCTCCTGTTGCTTCCCTTCCCAGTGGGACTGAAGAGAGAATTTATAACTCAGCTTTTTTTTTTTTAATGTTAAACAGTTTTTAATTAAGCACACCGGGTCTGATTCTGTCATGTTGCCTCAGGAAGTTTAAACTAGTTGGATTGAATGGCCTCATGGAGAAAAAGCCCCACATCCCAAAGGGCTAAAGTGTTGGGGGGAGGGGGAGGGGGCTCCTCACAGAGTCACTGGTCCTACCACACATGCAGGTGACGGCCACGTCTTGTATGCGTTTTTTCCAGCCTCCATGAGACGGACTTCCACAAGGAGGACCACCAGCTAGAACCCATTTACCGGGCAGAGACTTTCTTAGACAGAGACTACTGCGTTTCCCAGGGCACCAGCTACAGTTACCTGGACCCAAACTACTTCCCAGCCAACAGATGACATGGGAGAGACCCTGGGCCACGCTCTTCTTCCACACATAGCCATGGTACCGGCATTCTCTCAGCTCTCCCTGAAAGGACACTCTGCGATGCGCGCTCCGCAGGGGTCTCACCACCTGTTGGGTGGGGTTCTCGGCGGGCTGCCAACCAGCCATCTGGCTGCCGCACGCGCCTCCCGTGCACTTGTCTCTGTCTCGGGGCCCTGTTGGTGGCCATCTCCAGGGGGCGAGCCCCCATCAAGGAGAGTCCATCCCAAAGGCTTCAGACCGGGTCACGGCAATGGTATCGAGAAGACAAAGTCTTTCTAGAAAGACTGTTTCTAGGCTACAGCTTTGTGGTGAAGAGTTTTCACCAATGATGGTATTTGCTTCTAGGACCTCTTCTTACCAACGTGTCCCCGTCCTGTCCAGTCGGCGCCGTGCTGCTTCCCTCACCACACTGACTGGTCCCTGGGACTGTCCTCCTCCCCTCCCAACAGTGAAGCACTACCAGAGGCCTGTGTGGCGTTGCCTCCGTGACCAGTTTGTGGTCGCGGCGCGTGAATGTGATCCGGTCATCCCTCAGATCTATTTTTTAAATGTCATGTTCTATAAGATTGATCATGTGATGTGTACAAACTATGGTGAAAGTGCCAGTGGTAGTAACTGTGTCCAGTCTCTAATACTCCACATTAACTCCTTGAAAATGCACAGCCTCTGCCTCTGTGTTTGGAGTTGTCCATGCAACTCAGCAAAGAAAACTGCCTAATAGAGAATCATCTGTATGGTAATAACACCCCCTTTTGTAGTCTGCCCCAGATCCATGAGAGATTGTATTTTTATTACTATTTAAAAAGTGATTACACTTCGTCTGCGCAGTGAGCGAGGGTTCACATGCATCCTTTTATACTGCTGGATTTTGTTGTGCATCATTTAAGACATTTTGTATGTTCCTTCTTATCTGTGTATACCGTCTGTTCTTAAATAATGTTCATTTGTCAAGAGAACTGTGAGAAATAAACTATGTGGATACTGTCTGTTTATAGTAGAGAGCGCTCTGGTGGCTTCCTTCAGTCTCCAGCGTTTTTACAGCGACTCTGTGGGCTTCCTCAGGGGCCGGCAGTCTTGAAGGGAAATGCTTCCTCAGAGATCCAAAGAAAGAAACAGAATTGGTGCCGTTGGATTTGTAAGTCACGGTAAGATGAGGTTAGCTCGTTTTGCTGTAACTTGGTTTTGAGAAAATTTCACATGAATATTTAATGTATCAACTGGCTAGTTTTATTTGCTTGAAAGTCATAACCCACACGGGAATGGGGTAGATTCTAAGATCGATTGGCTCGAGTGTGTGATCAGAATTTTAAGGCTGTTTCCTGTTCTTCTGAAAACTTGTTAAAGTTTCACATGGAAATTATCCCTTGTTCTGCTTCCTATTTTTAACGAGCAAAGTTGATAGCACTCCAGTTCTCAACAGGAATGAGTTTTTCATTATGTTGAATACAGTGTGTGTGTGTGTGTGTGTGTGTGTGTGTGTGTGTGTGTGTGTAGCCAACTAGTATTGTTGACAGGAAACAGACCCAGAATTTAACCCATCATCCCATGTGTTTATAGCATTCATTCCAACATACCTACCCTAAAACCTGTATACGGACAATGTGATAGTAAGTGGTGATGCACAGGCACAGAATGGCCACCATCTTCTCACCCAGTAGTATCTAGGGTTATGGTATTGAAGATAACAAGGAGGGGAGGTTAGATTTCACATGGTGTATAATAGGATCGTTGTGCCATATTGATCTCCCCTTGGGGTGGGGATGGGGCTGGTGGAAGTCAGGAAATGGGGAATGATTCATGGCCATCCAAGATAAATTAGGTGTGGCTCCAGAGCACAATGAAAGGGACCCAAAAATGCCCTTTTGGAAAGCACTGAATGCTCTAGTTTTGAGACCCTAGAAAGGCTACAGAATCAGCTTTTTTTATTTTTTAAGGCAGTTGGGGATAAGTGACTTGCCCAGGGTCACAGCTAATAAGTGTTTGGTCGGATTTGAACTCAGGTCCTCCTGACTTCAAGGCCGATGCTCTCTCCACTGCACCACTTAGCTGCTCCCAGAATTAGCTTCTAAGTAGGGTTCATTTCTTTTACTCACCATGATTGCTGAGAATGGTGCCAACTTGTGTGGACTCATTGGCAGGTGCCATCTGGACGGGAGTGCGAAGGAAGGAAGGTGGCCTGAGTCTCTGCTTGATGCTCGCTTTGTGACAGGGAATTCTGTTCCTTTTTCTGAACCCCAGTTTCCCCATCTTTAAAATGGGAGCCATATCCTGGGTGAGTGTGGGCGATCCACTTAATTCCTTTGAGTCGTGGCTTCCTTATTGTTCAGATGAGAGCTGAGCTAGAAAACCTCCAAGGTATTTTCTGGCCCTGAAGACGCTGGGAGAGATTGTGTGGGTGCGCACACACGTGTACATGTGTGCATAGAGATAGGGAAATGGGTCTTTGCAGCTGTTCTTATCCCTCTCGGGGGAGGGCGAGTGCCAGAACTGCGTCCTGAATGTGAAGAGAATGTTTTGTAAACCATAAATTAGCACTATCTAAATGAGTAGTTCAACTCTATTCCAGTTGTTTGTGAAGTGTGTCCTGGAGTTTTAACTACATCTAACGGTTACAAGAAGTCAGCACAACATTTTTCCCTTGTCTGGCCACCTTCTTTGGAAAAATTTCTTTGTGCTAAGAATGTGAAATGTGGAGAGAGACTTTTCCTTACTTGTGTTGATTGATTGTGCCCTCTCTGATGTAGTTAGTGCAACACGGGCTCTTTTCCTAATTTGTGCCTCCCAGGATGGAGGCAAGAACCTGCGTGAAGGTGCCCCGGACTGTTTAATCACAATAAAAGTACACAGCTTAGACGCGTACCTATTGTATGGGAGTGACTTTGGACACCAGTGGGCTAGGCCTGACTTTATTACTCCCGGGGCCTCTGCTATATGGCCTGTCCATAAGCATTGGAAGGCTCAGCCTCCAGTCTGTGAGCTTGCTGTGATCCCTTGGGTGAGTGACGGAGCCACTTTTCTGTCCATTTATCATCAGTGTAATGGACATAGCTGTGTAGGTCCTATGTGTCCTGTCCAAAGCCCACACTGCTGGTGTGACCCTGGGTGAGTCCCTTTACCTTTCAGGGCCCTAGACATGTGGGGATTGGAGTCATGAAGAAAGTCTAGATTTCTGTCCTGCCTGACAAGTTAAGCCTCTGTGCACCTTGGGAAATGCTCTTGGATGGGCTGTGATTCATCGGGGAGGGGGCTTCCACACAGGGAGTTTGCTGTGCAGACTGTAGCTCCTTCACTCATGAATGTGCACAGCAGGACTTTGAGGACTAAAGATGATGAATAGGAAATCACTTCAGAGTGTGAGATATGCACGGTGACATTTTAGGTAGGACTGGAGAAAAGGGCATCTCTCAGCCCCCAGAAATAACCAGAACAAAGCAGTTACACCTGCCGTACCCCAGTGCCTGCTCTTATTGCAAGTCTTGACACAAAAAAAGGCGGGGGTGACTTGGAGGGGAGGTTCAGCTGTTGGCCGGGTCTCCTGGCTGCTGCCCTGATACCACCCCTTCCTTTCCCTCTGCTTTTCACATCAAAAATTGACTACTAAGCGTCCGGAGTCTCCAGCCAGAGCCCAGAGACTAAGCAGCCACTTACAGACTGGGGCGGTTGCAGTGATTCGGGACGGTTTGTGTCAGCTTCACCAGGACAGTTTATATCAGTTTCTCCACTTCGCCCTGGGCTGTCTCTGCCTCCAGCTCTTTCACACACTCAGTGCAGCAAACCCTGTGCTCATCTTAATCCTGTGCCTGATGACTCCTAAGGGTCCTTGTATCTCTGGACTGCTGTTAACTTTGCCCCGAGTTTTTGCATCCCTGTCATTCTATCTTTCCAGAACATGGAGTCAGAAGCTGAAAAAGCTAATGTAATCTTGGGTTGCATTAAAAGAAAAAAAATAGCCAGGTCCAGGGAAGGAATGTCACCAGAAGTATTGCTGAAGAGGCCGTGCTGACTTTTTGATAATAAAGTAGAGGAGATTCACACATCCCCCAGGATTGGACACGGTCTCCTCCCACTGTTGGAATATGAATTCTGTGAGATAGGGCAGGTGCTACTTTTTAAAAACAGATCAGCTGATAGGCACAGTGAAGTTTAGTTTGAATTCACAAAGCTAGGCTGTAAACTGGGATAGGAAGGTCTGGGTCTTGTAGAAGCTGCTTTAAAATGGATAGTAACCATGACGATGAGAGTTCTTTAGCTTTACAACAGCGCCATGGCTTAAGCTAGTCTCCTGGTTCTGCTTCCTTCCCCAAACTTGTTTTCATCGTAGTGGTCATCTGTTATGCACATAGACTGTGATTTGTCCATCCCCAGGGAATGGGCACCCCTTTGTTTCCAGCTCTTTGCCATTATAAAAAGAGCCACTATCAGTACTTTGGTATGGAGAGGTCCTTTGTACTCTTGCCTTTTGGGGATGCACGTCTGGATTTGCAGAGTTTGGTAGCTGGGGGGCTTTGGTCACTTGGTGGGTGTGTCCCAAATTGCTTTCCAGAATGGCTGGACCAGTTTACAGCCCCACCAACGATGCATTCGCTAATGAGTTTTCCTGGATCCTTTCCAACACCTTGGCCTATCTGATGGTGGGTGTGAAGAGGGTCCGCCCAGGTGGCAGTGACAAACGGGAGGACTCGTGATGATGCATGCTACCCATCTCCTGACAGGACTTGAGGTGCAAAATGTCACCATTTTTTGGAGGTAGCCAGGGCAGGAATTTGTTTTGCATGGCTACACGTCTTTGCTATGAGGGTTTTGTTTTGTCTGGTTTTTTCCCCCTATGGTGGAGGGAGGTGGGAAGAAGAGAAAATAGATTTTTGTTAATAAAAAAATTTTTTTTCATTAAAAAAAAAAAACAGAAGGGAACATAGACACCACTGAGCACAAATTCTTCATTTTAAGGGTGAGAAAACAAGCCTGGAGAAGTCAAGAGCTGCTGGTCCACGGTCCCACGACTTGTGATTGGTTGAGCTGGGATTTGAACTTAGAGCCTGGCTTTTCCCACTCAACCATATTCACCACTCCAGGGATTTTCCTGCTAAACTGCTGTCAGATCAAGGCTCCCATGGGAGACTTTGTGTACGAATGTGATACAGTTGCATGAGTGCTGGGTGTCAAACATCCGTCCCATCCAATGTAGGGTTCCTTTTTTTTTTTGGCTACGCAGTGGGGTTAAGTGACTTGCCCAGCGTCACACAGCTAGTAAGTGTTATGTATCTGAGGCCGGATTTGAACTCAGGCCCTCTTGAATGCAGGGCCAGTGCTCTATCCACTGCACCACCTAGCTGCCCCTTTTCCTGATACTTTTAACTTGCTGCAGTATTAGCATGTGGTTGTGATGTGATGGAGTGTTTTCAGAAATCAAGGTCAGTGCCCTAAGCTTGTCCCAACCAGAATTCCTGGGGCTGAGTGCCCCAGTATCGAGTGGCCGGGTGGGAAGGAAGATGGTAGGTAGTGGGAGTACTTTCTGCTCATCAGAGCTGAGGGTGGAATGGACTGCCTTGGCAGGGAAGGAGGCCCTTCTCACTGGAAGGGCTCAGGGTGGGACTCGATGTCCCTCTGTTGTGCAGGGCATCCTGCCCTGGACTGACCACAGGTGTCGTGAGGTCATAGATTCAGAGGTGGAGGACTGGCCCCTACCCCCAGCCCCACCGAGGTACCTGGGCCAGCCGTCTTCTCTTGCAGATGAAGCCCCTGAGGGCAGGAGGAGGGACCCCGAAGCTGAAGCCAGGGAGGTGTCCAGGCCATTCCTTCCAGACCTTCTTCCCTGGGTTGGTTGTGTGGGGTTCAAGGTGGCATCTGTTCCCCACCCCCACTGGGAGTTTCTGAACTGCCTGTTGCCCCAGCCCTGCAGCGGTTTCTTTCTGGTTTAGCCAATGTGTAAGAAGTCATGACTCTTAGTCTGTCTTCCATTTAGCTTTATTGGTTTGTCATATGGTCATTACAAGAAAAGCAACTTTAAAAATGCAGATCTGCCCCAGAAATGATCTTAAATGAAGCAAGAAAGAGGTCATGCAAGCGGGGGCTCTGGGCTCTGGCAGTGATTGGGGGAAGCAGCATCTGGGACACACACCGGATTGGCCCAGACCAGCAGGAGCACAGAGGAAAGAGGTGGGGTCACTGACGCCAATGTAGCAGGGCCGTCCCGAGGCTCCAGCCAGACCCCACCCCAGCACCTCCTCTTAGGGTCGCTTTCTCCAAAAGGGCAGGTGACAGGGCTAGCAAGCACACGGTGGTTAGAGTTAGTATCGTGAAAGCGAGTATCGTGACCAGACACGTTGATGTGGACGGCCAGGGGAGGAGCGGACGAGGTTGTCCCTTGGCTCCTCCACAGGGCTCCTTTCTCATGCCTTCATGGACTGTCTTGAATGCATTACTTGTTATGCTGTCTATGCCAGGCTTCCCAAGTCAGGCATTGATTGCCATCTTGGTGCCATTTTGCAAGAAGGAGATCCTTGAATGTCACATTCACAAGCATTGATGGTGTTCAGAGCAACAGCCAGCTTCCAGCAAGAGACTGGACCTGTGATTTCACCAGCTCCTTCTGTCCATGCAGGCTGGCACCCTCTGCACTGAAAGCCATGTAACTAGTGCATGTCAAAGGCAAGACCTCCTGTCTCCATCTCACTACCCACAGCTGCCTTGGCTGCCAGAAGCTGGCAAGAACCTTTTCCTTTTCTATTGTTGACTCAATGTCAAGGTCTTGTCCATCTGCTGGACTGCTCTGGCTTTGGAGAGGAGGGAGAGGGGAAAGGGAGCGGGAAGGCGCTGCATGATAGGAAAAAGATTACTGAGCAGGGTCCTCCTCTCCTTACGAGGAGACCAAGGCCTGCATCGACCCTACTGACCACAGTGAAGGGGGAGACCTCTTAAAACACAGTCCCCATGGGATGCCAGGGGAATCCCCCTGCCCGCCTGTGCTGCCTGGCCGATTGGCAGACCCTCCCAGGAGCTCCTGCAGGCGGGATGTGCTGATCCCTGTGCCCTAGAAACTGATGGAGAAAGGAGAGATGTGCAAGTGTGGATGTGGTCAGTATGAGGACAGAAGAGGAGGAGACTGGACAATGCCGAATACACCAGACGCTGAACCCCGCTACCCTTCAGGCTTCGGACAGCACTGTGACCAGGACGCTTGTGGGACATGAGAGGCTGAGCTTTGTACATACACCATGATCTGGGCAGGACGCGGAGACTGGAGTAGTTGTTTCTGTCCATCCCTTTTGTCCTTTAGAAGATGGAGTCAACAGCTGTACAGATGTGAAGAAATACTTCCTCAGGACTCCCCTCCGCGTTTATCTAGGATTTGATGAAAAATAAATCAGGCTGTGATTTTTATAAATCAAGTTATTTTCAGTTAACATCTACTTATAATTTGCCCCAGAAATACCTGTTTTGGAACTTCAGAGGACATGAAACCTCAGTCCTTTGACATAAAACCCTTAGAGAGAGGATGGACAGACAGTATGGGGGGAGGAAGAGGATGATCGGAGGGTCTCCCATCTGTCCCTGTGTTCCTAGTCCAGCTCCAGCCCAGGGGGCCCTTCAGAAACACTTGCTGGGCTGACCTGCAGCCTTCTGCTTGTTCCCTATGTAACCTTGGGCAAACCATGTCTTCATCTGTAAAATGGGGGTCCTTAAATTCCCTTCCTGTGACTGTGACTTCCACACTCTTTGGAACCAAGGAGGGGCCATGCTTAGGTTGCTGTTTGGCAGAGTGGAC